AGCTACAGAACTGCAGCTACATCCATGTAAGGTGTCCTGTGTGCCCGAGTATGTTTTCGTCAGGTCAGAACTGCTCCTATGTACGCTGTCTGTGCACTACATTTGTGGACTTGTATGTACCGGTAAATAGCTTAACACTGCGGATGGACTGTATGTCGGAGGTTAGGATCATAAGGGCATGGGAAGAGAGATGGCTGATTACACATGTAAAATGAAAGGCATTTTTATTGTGGTTTTTTTTACCAAAGAATTGGCGATTGACTCAGAAATTATTAAGACATGATTATTTTCTTGACCTGAACACTGATAAGTAATTTGGAAAAAAATATCTCTTATACGATTATATTTCACATAATACATCACTCACAAACAACGATAGTTTTCAATAATTTATTATCATTATTACTTTTTACTGTCTCGATTTGGACCAAATGTTGATACCGTGAACATATTACCAGTATGTTAACTTTCTTTTAACAATTTTCTAATTTTCAGTTCAGATTCATGTTATAACAACTGGACCAGATCTAAGACCATTGGACAATGACGTAAGTAGTGTTTTCAGAATTTTCATCAGCAAATTTAAGATTCCAAGGCAATTTTTTGCCAACATTTATAAAATAAACTTAATTAAACTGAAAAAAAAAACATGTTTTATAGTGTTTTATGGACAATGACTAATTGTTTATTCATTACATATGCAGTATGTTACATAAAGCAATCAAGTATAAAAGTATAAAATGTTTTACATAATCTTTTGTTGCAGATGGAAGCATATGTCACAGATCCCAAAGGATCCAGGATGATACAGTGGAAGAATCCTGAACCACTTTGTTGTGGTAAGTAATGTGAATATAATTGACTCACAGTAAATCAATTTTCAGTTCTCTAGTTGTACATTACTGAGTGTTGATTCCACAATAGATTGGCAGTCATTTGTGAGACAATTCTATTTGATGTATTGTTAGCAAATATGATATTTTACTTAATGCTCTGTTCATCTAGTGTACTCAAGCTATTTAATTAGGTTAAACTTTTTGCCACCAGTTTCCTGTTTTCATCATAAATTGACAAAATAGTCCTGTTGATAGTCTACAATTTCTTTCTGAAGATTGGGACAAAAAAGCCAAACTTTTTAAGTAAAAACTGAACATTCAGTCAAATTGGCTCCAAAATTAGGGTTCATTTCCAGAAATATTGAAGAATATAAGAAAAAATGTGGGCAAGAAAGTCTTGTGGTGAAAAGGTTGAATCAACGTACAAGCAGACTTTAAATTCATAAGCCACATAAGCCATTGCTATGGATTCTCTACCTGTTGGCCAGGAGATTTGTCTTTAAAATTGGATTCCTTCAGAATAGAACAACCACAGCTGGAGATTGATGTTGTCAAGCTTTGTGTTCTAAAACACAGTGCAATAGTTCCTGTATATTAAATAATATATTTAGAACAACTAGTTTTATTGTTTATTATATAATTATTAAAAGGTAATTATTTATATCATTTCAGGTGTTGTAAAAATGAATTTTCCATTGTCAGACCAGCCTTTACTGGGAGAGTGGATAATATATGTTGAATCAGGTGGAATAACGTATAATAAAACAATAGAAATACAAACAGTTGGTAAGTATATACATATTCATTATACTGTGAAATACTTTATTTTAGCTGGAATTAATTTACGCTGAAAAAATATTTTTTGGGCGTTTTGTATGGAATTTATTTTCACAGATTTTTGACAAGTTGAATGTAAAATATAGGAAAAATGGTATATTTTATTTTCACTGAATCATTCCTTTGTTTTGCAATTTGATTAAAAATGGCCAACTTGCAGCCATTTTTTTCTTATACATACATACATGTATATATAAATTTGGAGTAAAGACAAGACATAATAGTTTGTATGTGTACACCAATTTGTTTTTTGTTTTGATTCACATGACATCCTTCCCACTTTTGTTACAGTTCTTCCAAAATTTGAAATGATCATTGAACCACCTCCGTACATAGTAAATACCAATAAATGTTACAGCATCAGAGTTTCAGCTAGGTAAGATGGTTGTCATAGTTAACCAGGAGGTTTAATTTAGTATTATAATATTGACATATTGTCAATATGTATATATTGTTATACCATAATAATATTTAAAGACCTATACAGCATGACATCGTGTCATACTAGTAGTACAATAGCTAG